CTCATTACAGTGCAACATGACCCTGCATTAAAATGTCTGACCTTTGTGAAACGCATATTCTGAGCAGTGGAATCCAGTACTACACCTTATGTCTTGTAGCTCACAGTCAGACAGCCAGAGTGAGGGCTGATAAGGGGAATATCAAGTGGCTATTACAGATTTAAGGCTGTTCCTTGCAAATACATGAGCTGTCTACATGCACGGATCTCTTGTATGAATTCAAATATGTGTGGAATTACAACCAGAACTTGCTGCACCTGTTTGTCATTTGAACACCATGCAGCAAATTGGCTGCCATTTTGAAATAAGACTATATTCATATATTTTAAAAAAAAACTTAAAAGGTTATACATGTTTGATGAGATAGAAATTGAAATCTAGGGTGTGGGGTTCTTTGGAAATTAAAATTTACTAGTGGCTGCCTATTACTGTGTGCCATACATATGTATTAGAGGTCTGCTGACCGTAGACAGACCCTGACTATGTTGCAGAATCAGTTTTGTATGCATTTCTGTAGCCCTCCATAGTTGCATTATAAAAAAGTATGTCGTTAATTATGTCCATGAAGTGCAACGGCCTATATACTATATATACAGTCCTGCTTAGTTTTGTATCAACCATCACTTTGTTGATGTGTTTTTGAAGTAAATTTTACATAGACCAATGTACATAACACACTTCTCCTTCACAGGGGACTAGTGACTTCTGTGTGTCTCCAGACAAATTTATTGTGAACCAAACCAAGGATATCATTACTGCAGGTATTCACTCGACCAAATCTGTATTAACACAGCTATTCAAATATGCACCTCCCTAATGTAACCTCATATTGTGATTTTCTTTCTCTTCACAGATGTTGCACACTATTACTTGTTCTGCAGTCCTAATCTACCAAATCCTTTCCAACAGGTATTGACAAAATATCCAGTGTGAAATTTCTGAATGCACTACACAATGGTTGCTTTTCTTTTTACATCGCATTGTAATTACTGGATAATATGATGCTGTAAAGCATGGCAGCCTTGTGCTAATTCAATCAAGTAATTCATTTTCTACTGCCAATTTAATTTTCCTTATGCATATGTAAGTTTCCCATTCTTATAATTACTAACATCAGTTAACTGTTTGTTTGCTGTAGATGAAGAGTGATGTTAGCCACAGGGTTTTGTATTAAAATGCAATCGCGTATGTGGGGCTTGAATTGTACTAATCTAAACCAGAACCACTCCAGTAAAGTAGTGCAGAGTTGCCTGTATCTTGGCCAACACTGTCCAACTGCTGAAGGTTTTTTGTAGCCAAAGCCATAATAATATGTCACATCTTCAACAAACAAATCTTAATCCATGCCCAATAATGATTAAACCATGTTTATTTACCACTGTCCTATCCATTTTGGGATTAAATTAAATCTCTTTAAGTGGGTAAGGATAATCTCCTATCCGATGGCCTAGTTGATATAAATATTGCTGCTTTGTTTGTGTTTGTGGATTTGTGATGTTGGGGCTTGCAGTGGGTGGGCGAAGCTGAGGGTGTCTGGGGATAATCTTTTTGTCTGAATTGGGATGTCCCGTGTTAAGCGGAATTATGAAGCCTTACTTAACACCAGAATGCATGACACACTCAAACAATGCTGATGGCCTCATTGTTTTTGTGGGTGTTTATGTGGTTGTTATTAAGTTTTTGTTTTCACAGTCCCTGACAATCTGCCAGCGCTCTGTGACCACCATGCAAATCCAGATCCAGAACTTACTGCGGTTAACGGTGCCCATCTTTCCTTCTGCTGAGGTAAGTGCCTAAGCTGACAGACACTATTATCACACTCTCTAAAAAGCTGTGAAGCATTCGCTCCACTTTTATTCCTTGTTGTACAGAAAGACCTTTTGGGGATCCAGCGACTGTTGAACTCAACAGAGTTCAGTCTGAACCAGCTAACAGCCCTGCTCGACTGCCGTGGAATACATAAGGTAATGGGGACCATTTTTAGAGCTCACAGCACTGCTGTGATTGCCATCTTTAACAATCTGTACATCTATTTTATTTTAACAATATGGTGTAGTAAGTGCAGTAGACTTTCCCACAATATGAACTAAAATGAGTGATGGGGTGTACAAAGAAGGATCCGATAAAGGCAGCATAAAGATAAGTCTATTGTAGATCGGTCACTGTGCGTGCAATAAATTACAGTATTATACCAATATGCATCAGTGTGCTTTTAAAATGTGGCCATACTGGCTTGTCACAGCCAGATCTCGTCAGATCTCAGAAGCTAAGCAAGGCTGGTGTAGTAGTACTTGGATAGGAGACCAATGGGAATTCCAGGTGCCCTCTGTGCTGGGCACTTCACCCACATTGTCTAGTATGAGAGAAGTGTGTGCGTGCATAATTGGTGGTGGTTATAGGGGCTGATGGTGTGGATTGGCAGCCTTTCTTCTGTCAGTCGGCCCTAGGGCAGCTGTGGCTTCAGTAGTAGCTTACCACCACTGAGTGCGGAGAGAATGAATAATGCTTTCTTTGAGTGGCCAAAAAGTGCTGTATAAAATATTGAAAATATATTGACTCAAAAAACACATAACAAATGACATTGTTGTATTATAAACTATAACCAAGAGCAAAAGACTTAACCATAATCTGACCATTTGGTTCCACTGTAGGCTGTATTAACAATACAAAGTATGTTGTGATTTTCTGACCAAGGATGAAATTTTGTTGTGCCCATGGAGAATTGTAGACAAGCATCTTATTAACATAACTAATTCAATTAATCCAGTATAAGCTGTGCATACTGCATATGTTAAGGGACTGTATCCTCCAAAATGGAGTAAAATGTCTTAAAGATATATAGAAAATATGTCAGATGTTGTGACTGAAAGCCAGGCTTTTATGTGATAGGAAGGATAATGTTTCGACAGTGTTTGATGCATCCATTAATGACTTCCTGTGTCCATCCTGTAGGACTATGTGGACGCCCTAATAGGGATGTGTTATGATGGGGTGGAAGGGCTGCTCTACCTCTCTTTGTTCTCTCTGCTGGCTGCCTGTGCTCTCTCTGCCATGCTGTGCACAATCCTGAGAGTGTGGACACTAATGGGCAGCAGGTCAGCTCTCAGTGACCCCCTTATCCCATTACACAGCAGCCATAATGCACTGCTGCACCGTGTTAACTCATGCACACCCTCTGACTCCTCTGTGCTGTCTCCAGAGACCGGGAGTATGACGACATCGATGAGGAGGATCCCTTTAACCCCCAGGCCAGACGTCTGTCCTACAACCCCAGAAGGTCTAACATCCACAGTTTTTGTAGCTATACAAGTAGCATTGGCAGTCAGACAAGCCTCCCACCTCCTCCCCAGTCTACTTCTAACACTTTACAGCCCCCTGAATACATGTAAGAAAAATACAATGAAAGCATGTCAGTACCGGTGTTCCAACTTTACCACCTTTTGTTTTTATTCTGTCTCAGGAATCAAGCCATGCTGTTTGGAGGCAACCCTCGTTATGAGAATATGCCACTCATAGGGAGAGGATCGCCACCACCATCGGTGCGTTGGCCCTATGAGGCCCTTGTGTCTCTAGTATAATGAGGCCAATGCCACTGCTGCCCTCCAATCTGCTATAACACTAACTGGAAGCATGCGCTCTACACCACAAGCATAACAATATACGAGAGATCTATAAACACCTTTTCCAGTGAAGGAAGTTAGCAAAGGGGTTTGGAATGAAGGAACATTGCCCTCTACTGGCTACTGGTGGAAATTGATTAATCTTTTAGATTAGGGCATTAGGCAGATCTGTCAGAATGCTTCAGTGAAGGAAGATGGCTGAATTATTGTGAGACTGAAATGTGTGCAGTATGAGAGGTATTTCGTGTTAAGCATTTGAAATTGAATATGCAGGAAAAACATTATTAGAAATAGATATGGCAGGTAAATTCAGGGATATTTTAATTTTATTCATCAATATTTTTGTTCTTTACATTTACTCTGCCTACTAAACCACTAACACGCTTTTTAATTTAACTTCCACTGCTTTGCCCAGACATTTAAACACTGTAAGTGCTTTGTTCTCCATTTTCCCCATATTCCAAAACTTTAAATCTAATACAGTATATTATTATTATCACCTGATTTTAACAAATGTACATACTGTTTTGTTCCATGATCCTCTGCTCTGTATGTGAGTGACGTATGCCCCTGTACTGCCCTTCTTTCAACTAACATGTGATACTTAGCAGCCTACCTTTGTTTGATCATAATTTTGTTTTTATTCCTTGCAGTACTCGCCCAGTATGAGGACCCCCTATATGTCCATAACTGAAGCGCAGATCAGACACTTTGGGACTGACTTCCAGATATAACCTTCTACATATTTCTTTAAATCATGTAAAGACACACTATGAGATTCTGGGAATGAACATGACTACAGGCCATCTTTCTGAGGCCTTGGATAGAATAACTGCAGATGTCTCCTGATTTATAATGGAGACACTATTCAAATGTGAGCAGCAATGAATGTTTGTTACCTTGCAATTATTTGGTTTGCATTAATATAGCCAGTAAAATCTGGTCAGTATGTTTCTGAATTATTGCAGAAAATAGGCATGGGACACAGTAGCTATTATTTGCATTCTTTTTAAACATGATTGGCATCAAGACTAAGAAATGCTTGGTTGAATAACGTTATTGGATCAAAGACTGAAAGACTGATGCATGTTTGAAAATGGTTTCTGCATTGACCATATTATGAATTTGTTGCAAGCTGGCATGTTTTTTTTCTCCTGTAAATATTGTATCTTGTATGGAAAACTCCACTAGATAGGCCTGCCCCAAATGCCTTAACTGTTGTGTTGTTCATGTAAATTGTGCACTGTCTGTTATATTTTATGTGATATCAGACCTACATAAAACATTTATTCTAAAGCAAATTGTGTTTCCGAAGTTACTTTCCAAAGCAAATCCTTCCGCTAAATCGACGATGTTTGTCCTGTTGCGCTTACCGTAGAGGACGCGGAAAAACGAACCAGAAGAGATGGCTGCTAGTTAGCTGTTTAGCCTTTTAGGCTTCTATTTACAATGAGATCATGTGGAGTTTAATGCTGTATAATTTCTGTTGATGTCGAGCATGCAGTGGGGATGTGGCTAAATAATGGGAAACGTTTTTGGGAGAAAGAGCCAACCCTCTCGTGTAACGGACCAGGACAAAGCCATCTTGGTGAGCCGCTGGAGGCTGGAAGCTAGCAGCGGCAGCGGATAAATCCCGTTAACGCACATTATGGTTATGCAGGACTAGGAAAGCTACACGCTGATAATTACTCTGCAGTTTTAATGTTAATGTATTGAATTAAGCATTACCCCAAATAAATAAAAAAATCACAAATTATAATACTATTGACATCACACCTTTTGGCAGTTGCTAAAGTAGATGAATTTGCTGAGTTTGTCATGTTTCCATGTTCAGCAACTGAAGCAGCAGAGAGATAAGCTCAAGCAGTATCAAAAAAGAATCACTCTGCAGCTGGAGAAAGAGCGACTTCTGGCCAAGCAACTAGTGAAAGATGGCAAAAAGAAGTAAGTATGAAAGTGATCAAATAGAACATTTGAAGATAATGATGATGATAATAACAACATAGATGTGTGTGTATTTATTTTTCACAGAAAAGCACTGTTGCTTCTTAAAAAGAAGCGATATCAGGATCAACTCCTAGATAAGACGGATAACCAGATTTCCAATTTGGAGCAAATGGTAATTCAGCACAGACATTCAAAGCAGACCTGACCTATTATGTTGGGTTATTGTTTGAGTTACAGCATAATGTGAATGCGACGTACGTCATCTGTTCCAGTTATATATAACATTTTGAAGACACTTAATCTTGTTTATATGTTTCATACTTAACACAGGTCCAAGACATTGAGTTCATGCAGATTGAAATGAAAGTAATTGAAGGACTCAAGGTTGGCAATGAATGTCTCAAGCGCATGCATGAGGTATGATGTTTTCTCAAATCATAAAATGACAGTTTTACCTCTTCCATATGGTTTTTAATGAGATTCACTGGTGTGGGAAGTTTGTTTATATGGCTTGTGCACATTGTTAGAAGATTAAACGTTTAAGAGGCAAAGCCCTGAGACAGCACTGTGATGTTTGCTGCATGTCTTCGAGCACATAGTTCACACAATGAGTTGTATTTTGTTTTCATAATATGTTCCATCAGTAACATGTTTGCTTTTGTTTGGTTTGTGACAGATTATGTCAATAGAAGATGTGGAGAGAATTTTGGATGAAACACAAGAGGCAATTGAATATCAAAGGGTAACTCCTAACTTAACCTGCTGTTTTTTTAGGCTAATAAGCTCAGTGACTACTAATTCAGTGTTATGAAAACCTTAAAAACTATTCTCACTTTTTGTTGTATTAGTTATTACCAGTGTGCTTAGATATGGATAATATGGATATGGATAATAAAAAATGTATTTGCAGCAAATTGATGAAATGCTCGCTGGATCTCTGACGGACGAAGATGAGGAAAACATTTTGGCTGAGCTGGAAGCAATTACTCAGGTGAATATTCAAGTGTAGCTTTTGTTACCTCATTTCTCTGTGACAGTTCTTGGTTTTAACTTTAACCATTGCTATCAAAAGTATTATTGTAAGGAATTGTTGGGTGTTAGGAGACAATGTAGCCACTTTATTTCAATGGCATGCTTAATTGAGTTTTCTCATTATGGAACAGAGGACTGCCTGTGGTTTTATGGTTGACCTCCTCAGTGGCCTCCTTTATATTGGACCACTGCAGTAAAAAAGTTTACTTCTTAGGATTTGATGTAATTTACACCTCTTGGTAAACATGTTTGAACAGGGAGAAGACATAACACTTCCAGAGGTCCCAGATGAAGGCCTACCTGACATCCCCGAGGCAGCTCATGTTGAACCAGGTACAGACTTCCACTTTTTTATATATATATATATATATATATATATATTATTGGAATTATTATATTATATTTGTGGTTTATTTTCCCCTTTTTTTTTCTAGAAAGAAGAAAAGAAAATCCAGAGAAAGAAATGTTAGCTGCTTGAGCATCAAGTTTGTATTGATACTTTTTGCATCTGTTACATGTAAAAGTATTTGTAAATGTATTTCTAAGGATAGTGGAAATATTGGGACCGCATGTGTAATTTATTGTATTTGTTAACTTGTAACACTGTACATGAGACCAGTGCTCAGACTCTACTTGAAATTATTGGTATAGTTGATTTAATGTTCAAACAAAGCATTTTTCTGTTCCAGACTTGTCTCACTTTTATTAACAAGTCATAATGTATGAATTTTTAGATGTTTTACACGTGAAATGCATTTTACATAATAAAAATGCGTGACTTCTTTATGTTCTGGTTATTTCAGTGATTTTTATTTTGTGCTTTATATGGTTTTCCAGGAGAGGGCGCAATTGGCAGAGTATTGGGCATGTTCGTGGAGAAGTGATTTTGAGTTCAATCTGTCAAGTAGGCATATTAACTATGCAGCAATAAATTCGAAATTGAATTATCAATACAAAGTGACCCTGTCAGCAGATTTGTAAGATTTGTTTTTGTCATGTTTTATAATTGTTATTTCTACTATCAGCGTCTTTGACAAACCTTTTCTGTACTGTTTCTAAATGTAGTGCTGCGAGCACTTAATTGTGTAATACCATGAAAACGATGTTCAAATTACGTTACTCTAGTTCTGACATTACACAAAATCTTATTTCCCCTAGTGAGAATGTAAATTCCAGCAGAGGGAGGGTCCATGAAGGCAGCAGCGCTCTGCTGTAGTGTGGTGTGGTGTTAGTGCGCGAAAGGTGTGCTTCAGTTGGAGAGGGCTATAGAGAGCGCAGCATCGGTTGGCTGCTGGTCGTACCGCAGCGCATTCTTCGAATAAACTCCTGCATTTGACACTTTGAACCCCGATTTCGCACGGATACACGTTACAAGGAAATATCGTTTATGGTCCTGGCTGAAGACTTCACGATGTCTCGCACCGACGAGGTCCACCGCATGACGGAAAATGTCTACAAGGTACGCGTCAACTGCGACTAATGAATAAAGTTTTCAATTACCTATCCTCATACGTTTATGTCTTACAGAGAAAATGTCCTTATTTTTTGCATGTGTTATTTCGCCAAATTCATGCTCTTTGGTCATCATTCTCTCGTTGTCTTTTGGGATTTCTTTCCCTGCCCAGAAAACACCTGATTTGCTTCAAACCAACTCCCCATGTCTCATGTAAACGCACAGGCAATCCGTACAGGCGTTGTTGTGTTTCTTTTGTAATGTCTTCGTAGATGAGAGTACTCCAGGCCATTTCTCGGATTTCTGTGCTGCTTTACAAGGACGCAGTGAATTCCAGGAGGGAGAGTAGGAAGGGCAGGAGGAGGCTCTGTTGCAACAAGTAAACATTTGCCCCACAGGGCTTTGAGCAATCAGACCTGTTCTTTTTGAAAGACTGGCAAACTTAATATCCATGCATAATTGAGTTGTTTTAATACTGACAGAGCTCCCCATAATACTCAGTTGTGTAATAAACCTCCACCAGTTGACATCTTTGCTGTCATCTGTTTAAAAGTAATGAAAACAGGCTAGACATGGAAAGACTCTTAAAAAGAAAGTAAGTCATTGCCATTGTGAGCCTGTCTTAGGTAATCTTTGTCTTGGAATGACAACAAAACTGGAACCACACCTGTTCCTGCCTAGTGAATATATCAAATGTCCATTTAGTGCTCAAGACAGGAAGCGTTACGAAAAAGGTAAATGTAAAAATAAATAATAGCTTGATGGATCTAACTAATGCTCTCACAGTCCTCTTCAAACACGGAGGTGTAACTCTTCATAACTGAGTTATGAAATTAATCACAATTGAATTAAATTTAAATAGTATCTGTGAATTACAAATGCTGTACATATTTGGATTGCATATTTTCCTCTACCATCAAAACAAATCCATCTCACTGTTTTTGTGTGAGTCAGTTCGTGTTAGAACCTTTAGTAGTTTAGACCTGTACATGTTCCTTTATTTTGGTGATACTTTTGCAGTCCTCATTTCTCTCATATATGAATGAAAATATGTTTAAAATGTGCACTGTAAATAGAATTTTGACTAAGCAGAGTGCAGCATTATTTTCCTGAAAATTGCAATTATCTTTTCCACAAATTGTGCAGCCTTATAGATCCCTTTAGTGGTAGAAGACTTGACTAGTTACATCATCACAGCCCCTCTGTGCCCCTTTACCTTGAAATAAACTCCAGCCTTAAGCCAGTGGAAGATCTACTTATTGAAGGCCAAAGCCCAACATGGGGTTGAGGGGTGTGCAGTTTCACCAGGGAATAACTGTATCAAAAAGAGGTCAGATGAGTGTTTCTCATCCTCCTCCACTGAGCGGTGACGTAGGAGAGTGGTTCTTATGCTGGACTGATTGCAAAGCTAATTTGTATTCTGTTATACAGTGCATTACAGTGCATTAGTAATGTGGAAAAGTCAAAAGGCTATCCCACAAAGCACAAGGGCCAAGACCAAGGCTCAAGCATTGCAATATGCCCAGACCTGCACGGGGTATCTTGAAAACTGTCTAATTGTAAATTCTATGTGCTGAACATACACTGTAGATTATCTGAGACTCAGAATTAATGTGTGAATCGCTCTATTATTTTGGGGTTTCACATTACAGCATCCTCAGTGGAGAATGGAAAGATTTCAAACTTTATCAGGCTCTAAACTTAAAAAAATATTGCACATACAAAAAGTTTCTTCTCAGAGTGACAAAATGTTCCAGAGGCACCAGTTGTGTGTGTTTTTTAACATCTTAGCCTGTCTCTGGGGTGAGAGTCCTGTCTCTGGGGTGAGAGTCCTGTCACAACCCTGTCACAACCACACAGGGACCACTGGGGACCTGCCCCTGTGGCAAAGGCTCATATAAACTCTGCTCACTTCTGGTCTCCTATGCCTTTTACTGAACGGAAAGTTTTTCTACTCTTTTTCAAAAAAATTTATGGCATTATGTGAATGTGAATTTTGCTAAAGCTGTTTTACATCAAGACAGAATGACAGCTTGAGATTGATATATTACATGACTTAACATGTTCAATTGGGAATTACATCTCAAAATGAAAATTTATCAGTAATTTAATCTCATTAGTCAAATTCAAGGGCCACAATGTAAGTTTTTAGGTTTTTGAGTGTCTGCCATTTGTCTGCCTGAAGATGTTACTGCTTTGGCCAGAATGTTTTGCAGTATGACTTTATGAGCTTATCTCCAAAGAAAGTGACTACCAACAAGCCAAAGTTACAGGTCAAATCTGTGGAGAGGCAACACCCCTCACAGTCACAGTCAAAATGCATCGTATTTTTAAGCAATAACACATCTGTAACAGAATATATGTATGGTAGATAAGTTTGAAACCATATTGTGGAACATTCTTGGCAAAGCACTAACATCTCCATAGAGACTAGCAGGTGACAGACAGCTCACCACAGAAATTACATAATGCACCTTTTGATGATCTCACTAAGCTATGGATAAAGTGTGTGTAGTTCCATAAACTCCTGGTTCTCTTGTCTTGGTTCCATGTCATATTTAAAATGTACCTGATGACAGTAATTTTGTGTGTTTGTCCCATGTGCATAGAGACATCTCCAGAGGAAAGGGGAATGTAAAAACATAAGGTTATTGCTGGTGCAGAGTCATTGCAGTCGTCAGTTGGGCAGATCCTGAGTAATGGCATGGGAGAACAGGGCAGTAACTCCTCCGCTCTGACTCATAACACTCTTTGTATTGTGTATTTAACAGGGCTGGGACGTTTAATCTCGGTGGGGGCCAGATTCCAGGTATATGATCTGGATCCAGGCTTGGTTTCTTTGATAAAGTGGTTGTTCAATTTGTCAACACATATAGTATGTATGGCCTATAGAGGTGATTATTCTGATCACTACAGAATCATACAGTTTTGTGAGAAGTTTAAAACCTAAATGCATTTCAGTAATTTCAGTTCGATCTGTACTCCGAAACAGCAAGTCAATAATCTGATTTTATCTGGCTGTTTTGTCACATTAACTTTATTTTTTATCATTCTGAATGTTTTATTTTCTAAAGCTGGGTCATTTACTAGAGGAATGGTAATGTATTAGATCATGGAAATTACACAAAATCAATCAGATGGATGTTTCTTGGTTAATTGTGCAATACTGATGTTTCGTAACACTAAAATGTGATATTATGACATCCATATTGGCCTGTAACTTCATACACTGCAACAATACCATCTGAGATATTTTTGATATTTTAGGCTTTTATGTATTCATGTGAAACTAAACCAATTGAAAATGAGCCCATGGGACTAGCGGCTGCATTGGCTGTTTTGCTTGGACCTTGTTTTCATAGTAAATGGGTCAATAAAGAAGATTAGAATTTGAGAATGCTCTAACAATGCACATACTTCAATAATGTACAAACTCATATATTGCAATAGTTATAAATGAGTAACTGTCCTGCGCAAATGTGGCTGGCAGCACTTTTTGCTTTGGTAATAGCTGGAGACAGACATGCCATAGTGTCTTTCTTAATCAGCGGGGAGTCCACCATATCATTGCAGCGTGAGGCTGTGTTACTCACTCTTGGTCACAGACAGGCAGTTGTGTGTTGTCCAGTCATTCTTACTGCGTTGGGTCGAGACATATCCGCACACGAGGAGGCCGCGTGTTGCTGGTTACCGCGGTGATGCAGTTAGTTGTATCACTATAGGCGTCTAAGGTCAAGCCTATTAACTTGCAGTGGATGAGGTCCGGCCAGGCTTAGGAAAGAGCACACTCGGGTGAATAAACAGATTAATCAGACTTCAGACAGAAGAATAGATTTGTGTAGTTACTCAACATTTACAGTAACTAACTTGCTTTAATATGATTTGTAATGAACCAGATAGGGTGAAGACAAGAGTTGCATTGTCCTTTTTAACATGCCTTTCCTCCACCCCCAATGCAGGAAGTTATCAGAAGTGAATTGGGTCAGAACCAGGATTACTGCTCCAATTATGGCCAAAAAATCGCATAAGAACTTACTGAATATCACAAAAATGCTTCAACTCGCATTTCGAAATTCTGAAAATCGAACCATTTATAAATCCCTAATATACAGACTATTCCTTGCATGTATTATATTCGCGCAGCCATAGAGTGCTAAATAGGCTAGGCTACCTGTGATATTTTGTGCAGATTTCAAACACACCCGTCAGGTAAAGAGAGGAGAGAAGGGCGTGCCTCATCTCTCTCTCAGCCCTCAGGACAACGCACATTTTCCCATGCAACACCACTCCCTGACAGTCAACAGTGCTGGAAAACACAAACACATGCAATTTTATCTAATAACTGTTTTGATTGGGATGAAATGGTTGTTTAGGTTACTGAGATCAGGTGTGACGCAGAGTCTAGTGTCAAAAGTTTTGCCACGTAATATGAAGGGATTTTCTATTATATGGGTTTGTAATAATTGCCATTGAATATAATGTGTGTTTAGGATATTAGCGTAATTCTGTTATAGCAGTGCCTTTATTTTCCTGTCATATGGATTTAGAGAATTAATTGCAGTCAGGTTGTTGAGTTTGTTGACACCTTGATCCTAATTGATACTAAAACTGGTATCAAACCTAGAAATAGAATAAATACGACCAGTTCTTCCATTCTTTTGAAGAATTAATTGTATATTGTCTTTATCCGAACTATTATACCACTAGGTGACCTGCAATTTTCAGCTGAAATGTATATTCTGTTGCATAAATGAGTGTCTTTGACTTTGTTATCATTATGTTGTCAAAGTCAGAAATGCATAATGCTGAGTATTGGAATCAGAAGTTTGAAATTGTATTATCCTGACAATACTATTCTGCTGTGCCTATAGTTGCCTGCTGTGACTATAGTTTGTAGTTCTAATTTCAGATATAAAATAATTTGTTTTTCAGCATTGTTCAGCATGTTACTACTGATATCAATTTGTCTCCGCATTTGTATATAACACATTTTAAAGCACAATATA